ACTTTGGCAAAATGACAGAGGAAGCCAGTCAGCAGACTGACCCAGGTGATGACTAATAGGCAGAGGGAGGAATCCCTGGTGCTTCCTGATCTGAGGCTAGAAAGGGGAACTACCTGAAGGGCTCAGATGGGAAGTTCTCTCCAAGGATAATGTTCCCTCCACAGCAGCCTCCAGAGAATGAGGATGCGGCTAAGCGCTATCTACCTACATTTTACTTCCTGTGAGTGAGGCGACTCCTGTGACCCTAATCAACTATTTCAAGACTTGGGAAAATCTGAAAAACAAACAGGTTTTTGTTTCTATGACTAGTATGTGTAACAGAAGACAGTCACAGAACACACTTTCCATGCAGGCCATTCCCAGCCTGCTATTGTTAGTTGACTGGTGAGACAAAGGCGGTCAGTGCCTTTTCACGGTCAGGCTAACACCGACAGATCTAGGGTCAGGTATCAAGAGTTACGTGCCTTTAAATCCCAGCACCCAGGAGGCAGATGGAGCTCTTATGAGTCTCAGGCCAGCCAGAGGTACATGGTAATACCCTGCCCCAAAAAAGGGTGGCTGGCTGCAGGTGTGTGTGTGTGTGTGAATTCTGACACAGCCCTCCAAGTCTGAACGAGAGGAATGTCTACTGGCTTTCCTTTCCAGCAGTGGGTTCCTTTCAACCTTGGGGCTCGGTCATGGAAGAACCTTAGACCGTCATGAGCTAGAAGCCTTGTAAAGGCTGGCACTGCCACTGCTGCCCTCAGGAACTTGGGTCGATGAAGGAGAATGCTCAGTCACTGGTCTACAAGAGGACAACTGAAGCACATCTCTCTCAATGGTGTCTGGAAGCCTGTGCTGAGACAGGGAGGCTAAAAAGGTTCCCAGTGAAGAGACTAAAACAGACGAAGCAAGCACATGGAAGGGGAAAGCCGAACCACAGTTCTACCTCAGCTCCAAGTGCTAGTATAGATACGCTCCATTGGAGAGATGGCTACCACTTTAATTCAAATACACAAAGGCTGTTCTCAGTGTTTAAAATTAGGCCATAGCTAAAAAACTAAAGACAATGCCATTCTAGCTAGATGCTACTGTCAATAAAGAAGATCACTGAGGTATAGTGCAGGTCCTACATGTCCTCAGCTCAGTAGTTCCAAAATGTAAATCTTACAGTGCACAATGTCTGTAATCCCCGCTACTCGGGAGGGTGAGGTCAGCCAGGACCATACAGCAAGACCCTGTCTTAAAATGAAAAAATAAATAAAAGCCCTGGGAATGTAGCTCGGTGGCAGTGCCTTCTGAGAACACGCAGAGCTCTGACTTATACATTCTCCAAGGAAGTTTACCTCTTCACCTTCCTTCTAAATCTCCTTCACTAACCTGCAGAATCGTCAGCCGTCCGGTATACAGAGACCCGACGGGGTTACTGCACCCGGTAAATGAAACGGTGTAAAGTGCTGTGCAGGAGTCCACAGCACAACAGGAACTGATCCACACTGGCTCTCGTGTTCTCAAGGCAAGGGATACAGGCTCTGCTACTACCTCAGAAGGAAAGGAGAAACACACTCACAGAAGCTTCTAGAGAAACCAAGGGCTGGGACAGAAGAGGCAATAAGCATGCAACCCTGACGTTAAATGTTCATGTAAACTATTCAAAATTAAATTAGGTAGTGGTTTAAACTGAAACGCATGGCGCTTTGGAAAGGAACAGAATGAGTTCACAGGCAATGCAGAATCGTTCAGTCTTCTGCTCCATATGGCATCAAAAGTGAGGTACTCCCACACACTTGTTTTAAATGACTTCAAATGTGTACCCAAACCACAACCTAATGTGGTTTTACTATTTCTACAAATACAGGTAAGGAATGTGAAGCAGAACTTGCCAAAGTTATCAGGAGCCACAGCATTATAAGTAAATTCAGACAACGTGTAAAAACTAAAGCAAGCAAACCCAACCAGGTCAGGGCACTCACACACTGTGAATCATTTGTGGACATCTGGTTGGGACACAGCTTCAGGTAACAAGAGAACACTGAGAACAGGCCACTGGGTACAGGCCGCATATTCAATGGCTCTGGTTCTGGTCCAGAGTCTCTGACACAGATCGCTGTGCACACCCACAAACACCAGCTCTCCACAGCTCCAGCAGCGAGGGGCTGCTGCCCTGTGGTAAGTGGAGACTGCTGGTGAGCAGTGAGTATCTAACATCTTCCCAGCCTCCTGCAGCTCCATGTAGTTCAAGACTTGCCTCACTCCCAGCATCCTGCCCCATCAGTCAGAACCAGCTAAACAAAGACAAAGCCCCAAACACGGACCTCATTCCCACACTATCTCAAGTTGGTATTAAATAGTGCTGATATCTTTTCTTCTGTTCCTTCCAGAAATTAAATTTTTGGTGGTCATCGCCTTTTCTTTTCCAAATAAGTGTAAATATGCTAGAATAGACCCACCATTCCAGCCTCTTCGCTGTACAATTGGCAAGCACTGTCTTTTCAATGCTTCGGAACCTACACCGGGTGAGAACTGGGGCGCTCACTCGAGTACTATCTAAGTCAGGGATGTAAGTCCACTAGAGGCCATGTAACTATCACACTATATAATTCTGAACATTTTAATCCCCTCCCCAAAAGTCCTGTCATCACACCCAGTTCTGGCCCCACAAGCTATGGCAACCATTCATTAGCATTCTGTCTCTGAATAAAATCACCTGTCTCCTCTAACAGATTATGTTTAAGACTCATCTAAACTGTAACATGCACCAGCATTTCCTTCTATAATAAAAATGTTAAAGATGTGCATAGGCACAACTGACTGACCTATTATGAGTACATGGAACTGCATGCTTCTCTATCTAAGAGCATCTGCAACTTGGAGGAAGGCACAAACAGAATCACTCTCATAAGGACAGAAAGCAATTGACTCAGAGACTATCTCTACCTCAACTACAGCTTTCTGCATCACTGAGGTCCACACCCTGCCTAATTGCTGCTCTCTAGTTTGGTCCACGGTTAGGATCCCATAGACATCTTGTAGCCACTCACCAATCCCAGCTTATGCCAACTCTTCCTTGAAGGCCGAGATGGAGCCTGTACTGAACTTAGCATAGTACTTGATTCACACTGGAGTCTCAAAACTATTCATCAACTAAGTATCAAGCACTGCTTACTAAGTCATCTAGTACTAAATTTGTACCGCGGTTTAAACACAAACAATGCACATAAGTAAAATATTATTCTACCTTATCAGCAAAAGTCCTTTCCAACACTGAGAACCTTGTCCTAGGAAAGGGTAAAACTGCCCTTCAGACACCATTGGGAGAACACATACCGCACAGCACTTGCCTCAAAACCCTACAGCAGGTAGAAGGGAGAAATAGCTTCCACAGGTCATTAATTCATAAGGATCTCCTGAAGGCAAATGCTTGTCAGACACTGGGGACAGCTAATTTAAGTCTTACCAGATCCACCTGGATGGGTGCACTGAAACCCTAAGCATTAGCTCACCGAGTCACTCAAACTTAGTTTGAGAAAATAAACATCCTATCCATTTTTCAAGGCAACAAAGTAAATAATTTCTTACGTGTTTTTAAAGTTCCTCAAATAGATCTCAATATAAACCTTTTTCTTGAGTAAGACATCCCATAACACGTGGCTATGATTACTACAGTTAACTGGCCCAGTTAATGTTGGAAGAACTCTACAGTTATTGCTCAAGTTCAGTATGTAAAAACGCTGGCACTTTCTGTCTAAGAAGAGGAGATACTGTTTGAACACAGCACACTAAGGTCTTGCTTGTGATATTGAAGACACACTACCTGGTAGAGTATCTTCCTCAACTGTTCTTCACCTCCTTTTTTTATTTTTGGTCTTGGTTTTTTTGAAACAGGGTTTCTCTGTGTAGCCCTGGCTATCCTGGAACTCACTCTGTAGACCAGGCTGGCCTCAAACTCACAGAGATCCACCTGCCTCTGACTCCCGAGTGCAGGGATTAAAGGCGTGCACCACCACTGCCTGCTCCACCTCATTTTTGGAGGTGGGTCTTTCACGGAGCTAGGGAGCTGCAGAGGCCCTTCTCTTCCCACTCCCCCTTGCTGGGGCTGCAGGTGTGTGTTGCTGGCCTGGAGTTTTACATGGGTGCCGGGCATCCAAGCTCAGGTCTCTCTAGGTATGCAGCAAGCACCACCACATGCATGAATCTACCTTTCCAAGGCCCTGGATTTCAAACAAAGAAAGAACCCCTCCCTAACCTCCCCCCCAAAAAAACCACCCAACAACAACAACAACAAATACCCACAAAACAATTCAAGTAAATTCTATCTTTTGTTCCCTCCACTCCCAAGACAGGGTCTCACCATGTTGCCCAGGCTGGCTTGGAACTCACAGAGATCCACCTGGCTCTGCCTCCTGAGTGCTGGGATTGAAGGCGTGCGCCACCACACCTGGCGATTTCTTTAAAACAGTACCTATCTCTGCTGTGCATCACTATTGTTACATGTCACTTTTGACTCCTTGGAGAAGCAGACGTTGCATACACATGAACGCTTACGTTAGTAATTCTTGCTGTTACTATGTAGCGAATGAGTGTTAAGTTCATCCTCATCTTGGAAAAGCTGGGCAACAATGAGGAGGAGGCGGCGGCCCCATCATTTCATTGCTTTGGTACCTCTGACACACAAATCCTGCTGTACACGGACCTAGACTCCGTGTGTTAAGGCAGGCTCACAAATCTGTTAGGCTGCCTTCTTTTCAGACTCAACTGTTGCTGTCTACTATGTGCTATTAAAGACCTCATCGTTCTTTGAGCATGAGTTTAAGACATGAAGCTTCCACTTGATATGTATGCCACAATTGGTTGATATCCATGGGAGGCCTGCCCTTTTGTGAATAGAAACAGAAGAGCAGTGGATGGGGGGGAGGGGAAAGCAGAAGAGAGGAGGAGAGGGACTGGGAGGAGAGGAGGGAGGGGAAACTGCAGCCGGGATGTAAAATAATAATCATAAATCACTTAAAGAGATGAAGCTCTAAGTCACACCGCCATCACACTTCATTGATAACACCATTTACTTGTACAATAACCTTGATAATAACCCTACCTTCAAAGACATCTGTCATTTTGCAGATGTGAGCAAATGTGGCTCCAGTGGCCCAGGTGTACACCACATCCATCAAGTGAGGTTTGAACGAGCTTAGGTAAGTTTCTTCGTCAATCTCCAGCTTCGCTTCTGCTGAAACTTTTGCAATTCTTTTAGCACATTCCTTTGAAGAATAAAGGACAGAGTGAGAATTCTTTACTGACTAATACCTCCCATATCACTAAGGGTTTCTGGAGCCAGGATTCTCCAGAATCGCTGTTGTTTGAGGAGAGCACAGACTTGCAGGACTGTCTCTGTAAGGTGGATGCCCTGCATCTAACAGGCACCGTACTCGTGCGCACGAGCGGTCACACAGCCAGGCCTTCCTGGGGCGGTGGCGGCAGTCACCGTGCTGGGGTGTGTCCAGGGAATGCATCACCCCTGTGCCAGGTGAGCATTTCTGCAAGTCCTCCAGCTCACCACACTTACAACGGCACACCTACCCAACCGCTAACTGTCTTCAAAGGAGACCAGGGCTCCAGACGGCAGAGCAGGTAAAGGGCTCACTGCTCTTCAGGGAATCTCATCAAGTGGTTACAACCCTGTTAATTCCAGCTGCAGGGAATCCAAGGCCCCCTCTGGCCTCTGTGGATTCTTGCACTCACATGCATGCCACCCCTCCATACATATGATTAAAAAATAATAATAAAAAGTATTTAAAATTACTTTTGAAAATGAAAGCTAATAAACACTAGAACTAAATGCTATGTTTTAATGCTGAGGAAGATGGTGGCTGGAGAGACGACTCCGTGGTGAAGAGCACTGACTGCTCTTCCAGAGGACCTGGGTGCAACTCCTAGAACAGGCACAGTGGCCTAACACCATCTGCAGTTCCAGGTCCAGGAAACCCATAGATGGCGCCCTCTTCTGGCCTGCCCAGGTACTGAACACATGTGGTGTACACACAGACACACAGGCAAAACAAAAAAACTATCATGGGTAATACCGAGGAAGAAAAACAATAGACTGTCAGTCAGTATACCTTATTCACATCATTTAGTTTTAAATCTGTACTTATAAAGTCCACACAATTTGTTACAATAGTGAAAGCAGACACTTAACTACTTGACTACTAAAGTGAAAATAAAAAAGGCTAATAAAATAGAATCAATGACACAATGATACCAAATGTATTTAATCTGTGGAGCGCTACAGTGCCATGGTTAACCTGGTAATCTTTACAGTCACTAGCTTACCTGCATTTGTCGAAGGGGTCCAGCTAACTGTTCTGTTAATTTGGGCATCTCACTAGACTGTGATAAAGAAAAAGAATAGGAAATATGAAAACTCATGCTCAAAGTACTACTTGCTTGCGAAATGAAGCAAAGCTTTTTAGTTTCTTTCACACCAAATTCTAAGACTTAGATCGTTAGCATTTAAATTTTCTAATCAACTTTGAGTTTTCAAACACACACACACACACACACACACACACACACACACACACACACACACACACAGTCTTCTCATCCTCACTTGTCCTATTTCAGAGAACACTGCTCTGCTCACTTGGCAGTTCCTGTGACTAGACATGGAACCACAGAAGAGAGCCAATGCTGTAGAGCAGTGTGGCCATTGTCAATAGTTTAATCACAGCTTCATTATAAAACAGTTTATAGCAAAGTTTGCAGAGAGTGAAAATGTAGGATGGGCATTTAAAATACTGTCTCTAATTTTATTTTTACCCAGGTACTTCTAGTTGTTTAATAAATTATAAGGCAGTTCAAAGTTTAATTAAATAATCATTTAATACTTTTTGGTTTTAGTATGTAGATCAGACTGGCCTCTGCCTCTTTAGTGCTGGGATTAAAAGCATGTGCCACCATGACCAGCTGACTTCAATATTGCTCTTCTCAATGGTAAAATTTGTTAATTTCTAATTTAGATAACAGAATTTAAGTATACTATAACCAGCTAAATAAAATTAGACAAGCTACTTGAGTTTAAGTATGTGTCAGGATAAAGAAAACCGTATCATATCACACCACGTATGGGTGTGTGTGTGTGTGCGTGCATGTGTGGCGGGCACAGGTGCAGAGGATGTCCTTCGAGTGTCGTGTAGGCATCCGCTTTCCTCCTTGTTAGCAACAGGGGCTCTGTCAATGTGTTGGCTAGGCTAGCTGTCCTGCAAGTTTCCTGAGATTCTTCTGTCTCGCCTCCCATTTCCTATGAATGCTAGGAGTTCAGGCACGTGCACTATTGGGTCTGTCTGATAGGTTAACATTTTAAAAGGCAACTCTAGAGCAGTTGCAATATTATCCGCATTAGTATACAGGACCTAGTTTTGATTTGGTTGTGTGTGTATAAACACATTACGTAAGAAATCATCAACCGGGATTTATATCACTGCTGTGGAAACGAAAGCTTATTGCCGTGACTGGCGAACAGGGAAAACCATGTTCATAGGCCGAATGGTAAGGAATGGAAATGCTAACTGCCGTGGACAGAGCTCCATCCAGGAGCAAGTTACTGACCCCTTTCTTTCTTCTGGCCACCATGGGTGCAAGATTGGTCCTGATCTGAGCAGGGTGAGTGGTGCTTTCTGAATGTGTACACTGGGTCCTTCGCTTTCACTTAGGTATCAATTCAAATTTCATACTGGGGAGGCCTTTTCTATTCCTACACATTAGAACAAGAACCGGAGGCATCAGGCACTTTACCCAGCTCTTCTACATCTTCATTCACCCACACATAAGCCACTGGAGCAAGTTTCTGCTCCATCTCCAGTGTCTAGATCTATGCACTGTAAACACTGGGTGCTCAATACATTTTCGTGGAGGGCTGGAGAGATGGTTCAAAGGTTAAGAACACTGGCTGTTCTTCCAGAGGTTCTGAGTTCAATTCCCGGCAACCACATGGTGACTCACAATCATCTATAATGAGATCTGGTGCCCTCTTCTGGCCTGTAGACGTACATGGCAGAACACTGTATACATAATAAATAAATCTTAAAAAATAAAATTTTGTGAATACTTGATCTTCATATTTGAAAGATTTATGTAATATTCAAAATGCTATAAATGTTACTGAAAAAATAAGAGCAGTTTTAGAAACGTTTAGAAATACAAGTTAGTATGTTAAGTACATTTCATCTAACATCAAAGTATTTTATTATAGTGATTCTTTTTGCCTTGACAACATCTTATAGCATATAAACATGAAACCAGTCTTATTATTAATGAATAGCCATTGTACTAATCAAAACTATATGATGTGTGAATCAATAAAGCACATTATATATATTAACTCACATTCTCTTGAAACACAAAACAGCTTAGTAGTGCAGTTGCCTGTTCTGCAGAAAGGTCATTGAAAAGCCCATTAAACATCATCTCTGTTAGAAGGAGCTCATCGGCACTAAAGAGAGAATAAATTTCACAAGTCAGAAGATAAAGACATATCTTTAATGGGTAGTTATTAATAAAATATATTATTTAATCATGAGGAAAAATCAAGGGGTATAACCAAGATTTGTAAAGGAAAGGGTAGACCTTTCTAACTGTCAATATATAAACAGCAGATATCATACAGATACTTTATATGAGAGCTCAAATAACCAAATGCACATATTCATTTAACTAACGATTTCTTAACTCTGATTTTTTTGGCCCGAAATACTCTTTTAACTTCTAGTTACTTATAAGTAATGAAGAGAACAATAAAACAATAGAAAATGTTTATTAGAAATTATAATTAGACTGTACCCCTAAGACCCACATCTGTATTTCAGCTGCACTGGACTTTCACGCTGCAAGGAAGTTAAGAGCCTGAACGGAGCAAAGACTGCTCACCACCGTCCATCACTCTGGAGTCTAGACGAGCTCTAGATTCAAATTCACAATGACTCACTGCATCCTGAGCAGGTGTTGGCTGGTGGCTTTCACTGGTGCTAGCTCATTATTCTGGGCTCATCTTTTCCATCATCAAGACACAGTACTTTAATTAAGCCATTGCTCTCTAAGTTCAGAACACCTTCACATCTGGACTTACATTAGAAGAGAAGACATTTGCTACATTTAGATTACTCAACAATGTTTTTCAGTTTTATTCTTCTCTTGACATTTGACTACATATAAAGTATTATGGAAAATACTTGTTACAAGTAAGTTTATCAGAAAATAAGATGCTCCAGGTTCTTACCACGGAACAGTACATAAGTTCTTTCTGTTCAACAATTAATTCAATGAGTAAGAATGTCATATTTCCATTTTTGTTCCCTTAAAAAATTTTTTTTGTTTTATTTTTAAATTGGTTCTTGGAGAACGTCATACAATGTTGCTTTGATCATAATCACCCCTCTCTCTACCCATCATCACAGTTCCTTTTTGTTCCTAGAAATAATTATATACTTATTGTCTTGTTTTGTGAGCAGGGTCTCAAACTCACTGGCTCAGGCTAATCTCAAGTTCACAGTGATCCTCCTGCCTCAGCTTCCCAAGGGCTCAAATAACAGGCTCAAGCCACCATGCCCAGCCTGTCTGAGATTTTATTTTTATGACTAATTTCACCATTATCCCTGCCTAGGTGGTTCTCTGTGTTATGTTCTAAACTGTGTAATTACAGAACAACTTTCTTAACTATTTTTCTCTTTGTTATAGTATGTAGAAAATGAAAAAACTTCTCAAATCGCTATCTGTTCAAAGGAAGCAAAAAAAGACTATAAAAATGGTAGTCTAAATGTCTATAATCAGGTTTTAAATTACTCTCTATTTACACAGGATTTACTAGAGCCATACAGTAATCACTAGAACAATCACTCGGAAGGAGGAGATAAAATTTCTTGTACTTAGATTTGATTCATGAAACAATAAAGACAGAAACTGTTATCTTTATCACCGTAACTTCAAAACAAGTCAAACACTAAATTTGGGTCTACAAAGGTAAAGCGGGACTTAAGTTGAGAAAAGTGGACAACAGATGAAGCAAGACCGCGTCAAGGAAGTGGATTTTCAGTGTGTGAGGCGGAAGAGTAGGTAGCCAAAGACCACCTATCAGTGATCGACGGAGTACTCTAAAGAAAGTCTAGATAGATGGTTGTAGAGGAGACGTCCCAGGCCTAAGGCGGACTGGAAAACACACAGCGAGTTTCAGAAGGTCTGGGAAGACAGTGAGTAGGACACTGCTGAACGTGGGGTAAAGGTCATACTTAGAAAGGAAACAGCATCTGTGGGATGTGACAAGAATCTGGAGGGGGAAGCACAGAACATACGAAATTCTGGAACTTATTCTAAACCAACAGGGAATCTGATCTGTGCTTTGGGAAGAACATTTTGATAGCAGTCTACAGAACATGTAGTAAAAGTCTCAAGATGAAATAAGAATGCCGGGTGGTGATGACACACGCCTTTAATCCCAGCACTCAGGAGGTAGAACCAGGCGGATCTCTGTGAGTTCGAGGCCAGTCTGGTCTACAGAGTGAGTTCCAGGACAGGCACCAAAGCTACACAGAGAAACCCTGTCTCTAAATAACAAACAAACAAAAAAGATGAAGTAAGAATTAAAAGAGGGCAGTGTAGTTATCTAGGTAGGAAAAAATAAAGCACATGACTCAGTGGCAGGGTTTAGAAAGACATACAGGAAAAGATGGGATTCTAGATTGACTCAAGTTTTTACAGAATTTGAAGAAAGTTAATGTGCTTTGACAAATAATAGAAAATATATCAGGATAAAGCCAATATTCATTATTCCAAGATAAACTCTAGCTGTATATTCAATTTCTACATTCACCATTCAACTCTAGGTAATCCAAGAACATTACTCCTTTACAGGGGCTTCAGTATATGAATCCTCATTTACATTGTGGTACATACCTTTAACTACAGAGTAGGAAAGCCTGTGAAGACAATGAATCAAGTCTCACAAGTCTTATCCGGTGGCTTACCAACTACATGCACAATCTCTGAGTATTTAAAATGAGGACTCGACCTGAATTCTGGACTCTGAGCTTCTCTGAGTGGACACCAGCATCACGCCATCCATGGTAACAATGAGCCAACACTGCAGTCCCTGCTCACAGGTGTCTCTGTAGACTGCTGAGTCCCAGTGCTTACACAGATGAACAGCATCAACAGGCCTGCCCCAGAAATGCTCCAAACCAAACACTGCCTAAGCCTGTGATTCTCTGGCCATGTCCACTGGTACCATGTTGAGGACATTAAAAAAAAAGTCTCAAAACTGTCCTTATGCACTGAGGCTGATGGCCATCACAGCACGAAGAAAACCAGAGAACCTGTCAGGAAAAGTATACTGCTCTGACTTTCAAGTGGGGACAGTCAGGCTAAGGCTTCTACGCTATTTATAGCTTCTAGGCAGGAAACATTCCATCGGTCAGGATGGAAACTAACTGGAAACTTATTTTCTGAAGGGGTTTCAACAGCATTTCCTTTTGGATGTCTTCTCTACAGCTGCACTGTCCACACAGGCTGCCTCTGTAAGTGACAACTTCAATGAAACAATACACAATTTAAAATTCAGTTGTCTATCCTGAGTGCTAAGTCCCCCCACACGGCTAATGACCACCTTACAAAACAGTCAAGGTACAGAACACTTCAAGCACAGAAAAGAAGAATTCTGTGGGATAGCTGCTACTTTCCTATCAGGGTGGGTGGGTAGGATATCCTGAGCTAGAAACATGTGACCAAACCATTCCTAAATTGCTGACTCAGAAACGACAGAGTAAAATCTCATTACTGTTTGGAAGTATAACAATATGGGGAAGACTGTCCAAGCTAATAATACAGCTGTCCTTTAGTATCTGTGAGGTGGAAGTCCTAGGGTACCCCACCCCGCAAGATGACAACACCTGGGAATGTTCAAGAGTCTTATAACCTACGTAAGTAAGTTATCTCTGTATTACTTACAGCATCAAAGACAATATAAACGTTATGTGAACAATTATTCTATACTGGCCAGGGATAGGGACCAGTTAAAAGGACAATACATATGCATTTACATTTTTTCCAACATAACTTTCTATCTACAAGTAAGCTAAATCTGTGGATACAACATAGAGCTGACACTGCATTCCCAAATTTAAGCTGGAGCCTAAAATATGCCATTGTGGTATCTTAGCTTCCCTCCAAACCTGCTCACTCTCTTGTGTTCCATATATACATATGTATTAGAGCTAAGTGTCAAGGTGAAAAATTTTCAGAAAGCAGCATACAAGTTGAAATACAAACTAAGATATCATTTGTAAATTTAAATACAAATTATATAGAAAGAATCTCAACACACAAAAAGAAATGCTTCATAGAAAATATAGCAAAAGGCTAGATACACAGGCCTACATTAATTACTGAGATCCACGAAATTTTTCTAATTTCTCAACCTCTTGGTCCAAA